GACGTTAACATTTCCAATTAACTGACTTTCGCCTGATTTTTTAAGGTTTTGATTTTACCTGTTGACTTTTTTAACACCAGGACAATTTAACATGATGAGGGGTGGGGACAGAGCACAGGAACATTGGATACATTCTAGTATGTGATTATATGTGATATGTGAAAAGCAAAAACACGTGTTTGTTTGACACAGCTTGACGATTAGTACAATTTTACCTGTTACATACTCATGAGCCAGATAAAATTGAGAAGATATAACTCGGGAAGCGCATATTATTGAAAACAATATTTACACTGTATCTGCATCCTTCAATTGTAATACATTGCGAAGGCAAATGTTGTTNAAATACATTGTGAAGGCAAATGTTGTTATGAGACTATAACAACATTTGCTATAGTAACGTCATCAATCTGTAGTGGGGCGTCATCAACTTCATTGTTTTCAACACCTGATTGTCTGTTAAAAAATGTTCGAAATAACGAAATAAAGCATAACTACTTTATCAAAATGAAATTATAAATAATGAGTAGTTTAGCGAATATTGTTATGGTCCTATAACACACATTTCTATTGCTGACAAACTTACATAAAGCCGTACCGGCATTTATTAAGTTTGTCATCAATAGCAATTTGTGTTAAAAGACCATAACAACACTTGCTAAACATTCATAGCTTCAACAATGAACTCAGACCAGAGAGGCCTTCGTTGATTGTTTTTATTTTTCTAAAAGCACGATAACATGTATTGTTCCAGTTTCTTATCCAGAGTAATACATATACATTATTTAATTATTAGCACCATTTTTTGCACGGTGACATGAAACTTAACCTGTTAAACGACATAACAACATGTAATCTGTATCTGTTAAATGGTATTAAGGATATATTGTAACTGTCTAAGATATGCTGTACCTTATTCTGTAATCGCGGAAGGACGCCTCTTTGCCCTGAAAGTGATAAATGTTAAAATGGATACCTAAAACTCTGTATGCAAATATTCAAAAATAAAATGGAAAACGGAAAAATAAAATTCAAAAGTAGTAATTTTGTCATACAAATGTAATTAAACGTCACCACAAATAGGGTTAGTATCCTTGGTAAATAGAGTGTCATGTTTAACATTGATAGGTCATACATGTACACGTGTTCACCTCATATGAAATAGATATATTATTAGGTCACCTGAGACAAAGACATATTGCGATCGCTTTTGTCCGGCATCGTCCGTCGTGCGTCCGTAAACAATTTACATTTTCGACTACTTCTCCAAAACCCCTGAACCAATTTCAATGAAGTTTTGCAGAAACCTTCCATAGCCAAAGGTCAACAAAAATGGAAGGGTCTTAAGGTGCTTTACCAAATTTGTGAATTTCTTGACCCTCGGGTCCAGCGTTTCCCCCTGGGGAGGGGGTAAACTTTACTATAGTTTATATAGGGAAACCACATTTTGGACTAACATTTGTTTAATTGCCATTGGAGGTAATTCAATTTAGGTTAGCATTATCAGTATTGGGTAGCAGTTTGATGGTATGCACATATGAGCCCTGACTGACCCCCGGGGCTGATGGGTGGGGCCTAAAAGGGTCGAATTGACTGAAATTTCAAAAATCTTCTTCTCAAGACCCAGATATGGTAGAATCAAACACTCTTCATAGATGGAAGGGGCTTAAGGTGCTCTACCAAAATTGTGAATTTTATGAACTTGGGGAGGGGGTAAACTTTACTATAGTTTATATAGGGAAATCACATTTTGGACCAACATTTGTTTAATTTCCATTTGGGTTAGCATTATCAGTATTGGATAGCAGTTTGATGGTATGCACATATCAGCCCTGACTGACCCCCGGGGCTGATGGGAGGGGCCAAAAAGGGTTGAATTGACTGAAATTATAAAAATCTTCTTCTCAAAGACCCAGATATAGTAGAATCAAACACTCTTCATAGATGGAAAGGTCTTAAGGTTTATGACCCTAGGGTCTCACGTTTCCCCCCTGGGGAAGGAGGGGTGGGGGGTGGGGGCAAACTTTATTATGGTTTATAATGGCAAATGATACTTTGAATATTACATGTTAATAACTTGATTGGAATTATAACCTTGAATTGACAGTTTGATACTATGAAAATTTTGAGCCAGCCCTACCCCCAAGGGCTGTAGGCTGGGCCCCAAAGGAGTCAGTGTGCTAAAATTTCTTTATTTTCCTTGTTTAGAATCAGGGATGCTAGTTTCAAATACTTTTTAGTCTTAAATCTATATGCTAGATATTGAATAAGGTGGTTTTATTGTTTTTTGTCACTTTGAATAATATTTCTGTTCGTGTTAAAAACAAAATCAATTATCTGTATAAATTTATCAGGTGATCGTTAAGGCCCATGGGTCTCTTGCTTTTAGATGTACATTGTAATCTTCTTCCCCATTTGAAGCCCAAAAAATATTTCTGTCAAGTTTCCGTGCTAGCGTTTGCGAGTCTTGCACCCACTATGAGCAAGATTTGATCAAACGTCTCCACCTTTAATAAGAAAAACATGTACATATGCAGTAAATATTTACGTCTGTTTCCCCTAATGGGCCTCGTGACTACAATCCGGCGGGGGGGGGGGGGGGGGGGGGGTGGGTCATTGATACAACTGATTCCCATAAGCCCAATAGTTTTACAAGAAGCATTCCATGTTGTTAAATATCTTAACACAATATGCGATGAATAATTGATGGAGCTGTCTCTATGCAAATCGATAGACTTACCCTGATCCGATTTCACCAACTGACTCCACTCATTACTAAATCCGATATACCAGAAAACAATAAACGTCACAACAGCTAGAACGGACTTCTCAATCCGATTCCGCTTACAAGGTTGAAAACAGTGCGGCACCATCGTCTTCTATGCGTGATCAAATTTCAAGCTGTTTCTGTTGCTGCAAAACTGTGGAATATGTCGTCTAATCAGGTGAAACTGCCTATCAATAAATATAAAAAAAAATATAAATAAAATTTTCAGATCGTGTCTTAACACACAGAATGAAGCACAACTACTGTACAATGAATATCAAATAGGGTAGCATACCCTTTATCATCTCTATGTCGAGTATTAGACCTGTGGACACGGTTGTGTCAGGAAGGCTTTTGGAACAGAAAAGGCCTACTCTGTCCCACAACATGTAATTATAAATCTCCGCTAACGTTGGACCCCCTGTAGTATTGTGTTCTTCCTATGTTTTTGCTTATGGGACATTAAAGAATCCAAACGTAATCTGCTGTCCGTTGTGCAACCGTTGGCATCGCTTTTTCCTCACTTCCTAACACTTTCCTGTCAGTAGCCCTGACTGACCCCCGGGGCTGATGGGTACGGCCACTCTTCGGACACCCGTACTCAAATGACCTTTGCTGTATGGGGGACGTAAACTCTATCTAAAATCATGTAACAAAGGTAATTATGATCCACTAGAGTAATGATATACAAAGTCATTTTTCAAACTGTATAGTTTTAGGTGTCAAGTGCTTCATGTTAAAAAAAATAATATTTGTGCTTACAAATTAGTTTTTATCATGTAACCTTAAAGCGCAATTGAAGCAACGAGGCTTGCTTTTACTGCATAAAGTCAATAAGCTTAATAACGTCGAAAATGTGTACCTTTATTATATCTTCAATAACTACAATCAAACTTAAAACATAATCTACCGCTGTACCCTAATACACTAGCAAAATAGGAAACAATTCCTAAATTTTGATTACTCTAGAAAAACTATTTTGTTGTGTTCATAAACAATAATTTAAAACCTCATACAATCGAGTTTGGGTGCTACACTATTTTAAGGTAATTATTCTATTTCACTACAAGCAATTAATATCTGTTTTATTTACTTGCCATGAGTTTAGCTATACTTAGCTGGAGGGCTACCAGGAATTCAGGACCAGCTTTAATTATTACATGGTTTAAGGTGTGTATTTCAATCTGAATATTACCCTTGCAATACGGCTGATACGCTGGTGAAACCCCAATGTTAATTCTTGCACTCTGCAATCCATCATCCCAAAATGTCCTTGTACACCAAACCTAGTTACTCCATGTGAAATAGTACAGAAGAAATGCCCCAGACAAACTTTTTCAAAAGTTAAGGTCAAAGGTCAAGTCATAGGTCACATTGACCAAATTCTTGCACTCTGCAATCCCAAGATGTCCTTGTACACCAAATCTGGTTACTCCATGTGAAATAGTTATGGAAGATATGTCCCGGACAAACTTTTTCAAAGTTAAGTTCAAAGGTCAAGTCATAGGTCACAGTAACCAAATTCTTGCGCTCTGCACTCAGCCATCCCAAGATGAACCTGTACACCAAATCTGGTTACTCCAGGTGAAATAGTACAGAAGATATGCCCCGGACAAACTTTTTTTCAAAAGTTAAGTTCAAAGGTCAAGTCATAGGTGACAGTGACCAAATTCTTGCACTCCGACCGAGTTACCGAGTAACCAGTTAACCGTTGACAACCCTAATAAAGCAGATAAGCTATATAAAGTGAAGCCGAGTTTGGTTTGAAGGCGAGTTTAAAATATCTCCATGAATTATGTAAAGTATGCAGAAATTGTGTTATAACACCGATCAGTGATACTAAATGTACCATCACACTTATTTGTAGGTACTATAACGTTTGTGTGAAGATTTCGACGGTTTAAAAGTAGTCATATGCAATAAAGTGCGTCGCGCAATCAAGGGCGTCGTAAGATGTATGAATCGGATGAATTATTTAATAATGGGAAGAGATATGCAGATGATAGTTTGTAAAATGAACGAGTAAAGACGGGCGTTTCTCTATATCATAAAACATAAAATCTTGTCTCATGACCCTGAAACCCAGTCCTATCCTTCATAGCAGTTTTTTTTTTAATTTTGCGTAAGGACTATAGATTTACCGTGTACATGTATTTAAAGGCCCGGCAACAGTGGAGTTCGTTCGACTACGTGACCACTTAAAAAGTTATACATTGGCATTTCCTCTTATTGGCACAAAGGCTTGACCTACAAATTTTTTAATCCCGCGAGTATATATTACTTTTTTTCAATTGATGAACATTATTTAAGTGACATAGCTATGACATGGTCTGACCCTAGCCTTAGAAACCTGCGTAGTCATATACTCATAATATGTTAAACTTATCCGACAAAACGTTATCACGAAACGCGACCTTAACGACTCAATACCCTTCAAACAAATTACTTATAACTACCATAATCGAATGCAGATATGAATATTTAAGAAAACGTGTTATATTCAGCAGGCTGAATTGAGAACAGTTACAGTGGACCAAGATGACAATAAGACTTATGTATCCTCTACTGATTCGTGGTATGACTGTGGTCTATTCATTATGTACACTGTAGGTTCATCGGAATATATGTGTTCATACGCAGTACCTGTTACAGTATGTAGGTACATCGGAATATATGTGTTCATACACCATACATGTTACATTATGTAGGTACATCGGAATATATGTGTTCATACGCCATACCTGTTACATACGCCCTACCTGTTACATTATGTAGGTACATCGGAATATATGTGTTCATACACAATACCTGTTACATTATGTAGGTTCATCGGAATATATGTGTTCATACGCAGTACCTGTTACAGTATGTAGGTACATCGGAATATATGTCTTCATACACCATACCTGTTACATTATGTAGGTTCATCGGAATATATGTGTTCATACACCATACATGTTACATTATGTAGGTACATCGGAATATATGTCTTCATACTCCATACCTGTTACAATATGTAGATACATCAGAATATATGTGTTCATACGCCATGCCTGTTACATTATGTAGGTACATCGGAATATATGTGTTCATACACAATACCTGTTACATTATGTAGGTACATCGGAATACATGTCTTCATACGCCATACCTGTTACAATATGTAGATACATCAGAATATATGTGTTCATACGCCATACCTGTTACACTATGTAGGTACATCAGAATATATGTGTTCATACGCCATGCCTGTTACATTATGTAGGTACATCGGAATATATGTGGTCATACGCCATACCTGTTACATTATGTAGGTACATCAGAATATATGTGTTCATACGCCATGCCTGTTACATTATGTAGGTACATCGGAATATATGTCTTCATACGCCATACCTGTTACATTATATAGGTACATCGGAATATATGTGTTCATACGCCCTACCTGTTACAGTATGTAGGTACATCGGAATATATGTGTTCATACACAATACCTGTTACATTATGTAGGTACATCGGAATACATGTCTTCATACGCCATACCTGTTACAATATGTAGATACATCAGAATATATGTGTTCATACGCCATGCCTGTTACATTATGTAGGTACATCGGAATATATGTCTTCATACGCCATACCTGTTACAATATGTAGATACATCAGAATATATGTGTTCATACGCCATACCTGTTACATTATGTAGGTACATCAGAATATATGTGTTCATACGCCATGCCTGTTACATTATGTAGGTACATCGGAATATATGTGTTCATACGCCATCCCTGTTACATTATGTAGGTACATCAGAATATATGTGTTCATACGCCATGCCTGTTACATTATGTAGGTACATCGGAATATATGTCTTCATACTCCATACCTGTTACAATATGTAGATACATCAGAATATATGTGTTCATACGCCATACCTGTTACAGTATGTAGGTACATCGGAATATATGTCTTCATACACCATACCTGTTACATTATCTAGGTTCATCGGAATATATGTGTTCATACGCCATGCCTGTTACATTATGTAGGTACATCGGAATATATGTCTTCATACTCCATACCTGTTACAATATGTAGATACATCAGAATATATGTGTTCATACGCCATACCTGTTACATTATGTAGGTTCATCGGAATATATGTGTTCATACGACATACATTTTACATTATGTAGGTACATCGGAATATATGTGTTTATACGCCATACCTGTTACATTATGTAGGTACATCGGAATATATGTCTTCATACGCCATACCTGTTACAATATGTAGATACATCAGAATATATGTGTTCATACGCCATGCCTGTTACATTATGTAGGTACATCGGAATATATGTGTTCATACGCCATACCTGTTACATTATGTAGGTACATCGGAATATATGTGTTCATACGCCATACCTGTTACATTATGTAGGTACATCAGAATATATGTGTTCATACGCCATACCTGTTACATTATGATCATGCAGATCTTAATTATACCCATTCAGCATGGTCGCCACATGTTATCATACGAAACAAAATGACTCAAATATATTAGATAGTCATTCTCATTTTCAATTTTTTTTCTCCATGGAAAGTAAAATAATTTAATGAAAACAATGACTTTCTTTATCATTGGAGGCACGGTAGTCTAGTGGCAGGACGCGTACGTCGGGCGCGTGCCCGAAGGGTTGCGGGTTCGAGTCGCGTAACGGCAATGTGTTGTATCTTTAAGCAAGATACTTTAATCCGCTTGTTCCAGTTTACTCAGCTGTAAATGAGTACGTTGTATGGTAGTGCCAGAATTGTTGAATGCTAGCTGTGAGCGCCGAAATGGCAGTACCTGCCGTATGCTCTTCAGGTAGTTGAGAAAGATATTAGTTTGCTGAAAGGTCCTGTAACCACGGATAATTATTTGTGTGTCGCTTTGAGACGACCTACGAACTTGATTGTGATGAAGATGTATATAAGAACCTGGAATTATTATTGTTAATAATATTATTAAATACTTACCTTTGTTGTGTTGGTGGCGATAGAACGGTCTAGTCAGGTATTGATAACGTAGTCATAGATGGCCGTGTTGGAATCGCAGTTATCGTTACTCCCTATAGCTACTACACCTGTGCAAGTAGTATGTGTACGACCTCGGTTATAGGGACGCCCAATCGACCCGGAAAAAATAATATACACACGACATGGAGAGCTTTGTAACACACACGTAACAACAGGTAAACAAGTCATAGACCGTATGAACGACCTGTTTATCTATAGGTTTTAAAACAATAGAAAGTCGTGATTTAACTGGGACATACATGTAATCTATTGAGGAAGCTTGTACTGGAGACTGCTTTTAAAAAAAATATCATGTTTTGTTTACAGAATTCCTCTCCCGCTGCGGGCAAAACGCCAGAAAGTTCCTCTTATTTCGTATTCAATATTCTTTTTTCTTTATACGTGTGACACGATTTGGCAAGGGTGTTTCCGTGTACAAGGTAGCTCAGTTTGTTAAAATGAAATATAATTATCCGAGATTAAAGGTTCGATTCTTTCTCTGGCCTCGTTGCATTTTTAAAATCAGAACGCTGTGTAGATTCGTTCCTTATAAAGGATCCCCAAGGTGTGATTTTATGTTCAGAAATGATTTATCAAGGCTATAGGCCGTGCCAGGGGAAAGTTGTCTTTTGTAAAGTTTAAAGTTTAGGCAGTGATACAGGGTCCTTACACGCAATTCGTTTTCTTGTCTAACAGACGGAAACTTCGATTACCGACATTATATTTTGCCCAAATTGTCCCGTTATAGTTAAGATCCAGAAAGATCAGGACCTTAAAGAAATGTCATACAAAATCGGCCTTAAGATAGTCATACAAAAATGTATTGAAGACATTTATATACATCACGTATTGGTTTTATCACATTCCTAATAAACCCTTTGTTTGTGATACAATCAGTGTTCATGGAAAGCAAAACAAGGTTCTGTTCTGATTGCGCCAGTAGGTGAAGGTGAATAGCTGTTTGGACTATCTCCTTAGGCACCCCTCTTTGTATGGCCTTAGATGATTAAAAGATGTATACCCTCCCCCCTCGCAAAAAAAACCCTGAATGACTATTCCAACGACTGAATACAATATAATTTGATCCATAATGCCTAGCGTCGAGAACCTTTCGATTAAGGCCCAAAAGTGTTCAGACTCGTACTATCAACTGATATGTGAATTTGAAGATACTGTTTTATTCTGTGGAAGGCTAAACCCAACAATGGACAAAAAACAACACAGGCTAAATGGGATTCATGTTCAAAGTGGGTTCAACCTGGTAGAATAACTTCCTTCAAACTCGTAATGGATACAAAACTGAAGTCTGTAGCTCATGACTCAAATACCGAAACCACAATCAACAGTCTGCGTGAGATGCTTGTCAGAAGACGAAACATCTTATGAGAAAATCGTTCTCTTCATTCACTTTTCCATTTACTGCTTGCAAAATGAACTAGGCGTGCTCGATAACAATGAATACTTTCTTATATGTTTTTACTTCAGACGAATTCAGGGTACTCATGCGTCTGTGTTTACAGAGTTTGAATACTATTTGATTACTTTTTATTCGGACTTGTCTCGTTTGTATTGGATTCTGAAACTTCTGAAATCGTTACCAACAGCGCCGTATCGCTGACACTGCTTGTTTCTCTATCAAACCATTACTTAAACGCTTTTGAGGTATAAACTATCATCCAACTGCATGAATTAACAAGCGAATATGATGGTGGTCTAGTTGTGCCCCGGGCTCGATTTCCCGACGGGACCCAAAACGATATGAGGTCACATATCAAACACCCGGGTTTTCCCAGGTACTCCGGTTTCCTCTCATATTAAGACCCCATGCGCGAAAACATCCGGGCCAGCAAGGGTGATTAATGTATGTTTATATATTTTTTTTGTAAAATAAATAATGTTTAGCTAAATCGAAATTTGAATTAATGAACACTTTCAGTTTGGTGTAAATTCAATAATTGTAGCAAGTCCTAAGTCATTAAAAGTTTTAATTATTTCATAATCTGTGGCAAAAGCAATTTCAACAATACAAATATACAAGCGTTGTGAGTAGCATCGAATATATCAACAATATTTGCCATGCATTTAGGGTTGTTTGATATATATGATATCCTAGAACAAAACGAAAGCATTCATAACGGACTGGAAATAACACGCGGCTCATCAATGTTAATGTAAAGTACTTTCTACAGACAATTTATGAATATACGTCTATATAGTGTGTGTGCCTTGGTATCGACAGCGGGCAATATACAACATTTAGAGTTCAGACGATGAAGTGAAGTGTTAGCAATCAATACACAGACACCATCGTTAATATTTCAGAGGAATATTGACACAAACCATATGTCGTTGAACACGATCAATAATGCCAAATAACGATAATCATAGTGACATTCAAACAATTGATCATAATAAGATAATTTAAGATGCAAGTCTTTTTCTATTATTGTGAATAGTTTTGTCATGAATTGGAAATAAAAGTATTCTTAATGCGATTTCAAACATAATATGACCTAGTTTTTAGGTCTGGATATTTTGTAGTTCAAATACAGGTGAAAGTATCGTGGTCTTTGACGGTATAATTCGAGGAAACACGTATTACAGCTTATATGACCGCCTCAGCAGACGATATCAAACAGAGCATGTGGGATTGTCCGATACCCATTTGTTCCCTCGCATGGATAACCAAAAAGCATCGCTGCGTCATTCTACACTTATCCATACCATATCGTTTCTCAAATGCACGTTTGCCAAGGTCCGGGAAGGCTATCATAAAAGCATGAGTGTATTCGTCCTTTAATGCCAAGCCAGCACAGATATTGTCAAAGGGTTGAGGTCTAAAACGCTCCATGATTTGATCCAAACACTTAGTATCATGCCCATATATCATAACTGTCTCTCCGTGGTATTTGGTCTGGAAATATAGGGGAGGTTTACTAAATTTGCTATATTTTGCTGTAAGGGTTATGTGTAAAAGGATCAATCAAATCAGAACATTATTTTAGAATGAGTAGCTCAAGCGATGTATATCAACAAAGGGACATAACTCCATAAATTTGGGAGCTACAGTTCTCTGTTCTATATTCTCGAATACTCATGTCCCCTCATGATCAATGTAAGCATCATTTGTATCAAGTTTTATTGAAATTGGTGAAGTATGTGTTCTTTAATAGTACAAATAATACATTTAAAGGGGCATAACTTCATCCATTTTGCATACTCTCTCCACCCCGCTTCAATTTAAGTATTATGTGTACCAAGTATAAATAAAATTTGTGCAGGGTTTTAGAAGGAGGTTCCAATTGACGTTCTTAGTCGTATTCATTTTGTCTACAGACAGATAGATGCATGGACAGACAACCCAACCACAGTTTAACCCCTGTAGGGAAACACAACCCACAAAGAGGGAAAAACAAAGTATCATTATATCTTTATATCATTATTATATATACTGATATAGAACAATAACACAACAGTGAAGATGAATCTGGCTACCGCACCATTGTTGTCTATTTCATCAACCTCGAACTATGCTACGTTTACATTATATTCCCAGTGACCACGGCAATCACGTTTCAGGCCAACGTGGACAAAACGGGATGGACGTGAGATAACGCGGGCGTCGGGATGGGCCAACGTGACAGGCCGTGATTGCCGTGGTTGCCGTGGTTGCCGGGCCAGATTTTTTAACTGTCAAAAAATTTGCCACGGCAGTCACGGCGCGGATGTGAAACCTAGTAGGCCGTAGTAAAACCGGATGAACGCAACAAAAAACGTGACAGTACGTAATAGGCCGTAATATAACTTGGAGGCGGTCCGTAGTGGGACGGGAAGCATGTGTATTTCCCGGCATCTCACAGTTTTGTCAAGTTCTATCGCGTTTAGTGCGCGTTCTGTCGCGGTTGGTTCACGATTGCTGCGCGTTTTGTCCCATTTTGCCACGTTTTGTCACGGTTCTCACGGCAAGCTAGGGTGTATGGTAGCTGTTTCGTCGCGTTCGATCTGGCGCGTCACTGTGTGTGACGGTTTGCGGGCCCGGCGCGTTGCGTTCTACTACTGTCTGACATGGCGCGCGGTCTGGGAGGGAGTATATAAAAGCCAAAATCCCACGGCCACTACGTTTCGTACACAAAATCTTCTTCGTCTTGGGAATTCATGATGTTATCTCGTCGATTCGTCTCAGGATATAATGATTGCTTTTGCCTGGGAGGCCTTCTTCGGCACAAACGTGCTCCAAAGCTGCCCTGTGTCCACGTTTCATCCTTGGGAAAGCCTTGACAGAACGTAAAAAAACGTGTCGGACCTTAATCAGAACGAGAGAAACGTGAGGGACCCCATCAGAACGTGACGGGCCTAAAGGGAACGTACTGGCATCCGTGGTAGACCGCGGGCCGAACCGTAGTGCGCATTGAAGCCTTCGGGACTCTGCAGCCCCTTTCCCCCCACGGCCGGTCACGAATATCGTGACAGACCGTGGGAAAACTTGCCAAGACTTGAATTCAGAGAAAAAATGGCCAAAAGCCCACGGTGCACTACGTTTCTGGCAAACGGGACTGCCGTAGCTACCGGGAACATAATGTAAACGTAACAGTGTTGGTACATCTAGCTAATTTATCTAGAAAAGACTCCACATAAGAGAAATATGTCTGGAGAAACACTAGATTATATATATATATATATACCCCCCCCCCCTGACTGACTATATATTCCCCATTTAAGATCCAAGCAAAAGCTACACTGTATCACTATGTGAAGTTTTAGAAATTTCGGCCGTTTGAAGTCCCAAGATAATCTCCGGAAACAAGAGTGCTGACGGACAGACAGACAGACACTGTGATTACTATAAGGCACTTAAGAAAAAGGGTTTGTAGAATTTCATATTACTAATTGTTTGACAAAAGCATAAAAAACATAAACACCCTCTGTTTATGCAAACATGGGTCCCCTTTGTCCAAAGATGCTCTAGAACAAATTTGGTTAATATCCTTTTAATTTGTACAAAATTCATTTTTTCCTCTATTTCCTTTATTGGGCTCCGAACCTCTGCCCATACCGGCC